CTGGTGACGAAATATATATTTATGGTTGTAAACTAGGCTGGAAATGTTTATAGTAAACTCTGCACGATTCCATACATGAAAAGTTAACATTAACCTTTTGAATGAAGAATTGTTCATTTTTATCATAGTAATTTGGTTTAACAGTTTGATCGTAAACTTGCACAAGGTCTTTTCCAAACATAAATTATGGTTTAAAATTCACCTGGTCAATGACGAAATGTTAATGTATTGATAGTCAACTAAGAGTTGAACAGTTTGATAACTGGTTTTGCAATTATAGAATTTAAGGGACAGGACTCTATATCAAATCTTGTACAGAAATAACCAAAACCACAGATTAAAGCAGTAGACGTATGTCTACCCCTTTAATCTATTCTAAAACTTGAATGCAAACAGTGTTCACTTATTGTGATGTCCCATCAAAATATGATAGAAATTTATCAGAGAACACTGGAAGAAAATACTCTAAAAGACGATTTAGGTACTATTAAGCTCTGATTAGTGGTTTTTGGAAAATTGAGAAAGTTATACTTTTTTAGTTTCTGCAGGTAGAAGAAGGTATTTAACATATTAAATGTGTAAACTCTCGTCCAATTTACATAAAGAAATTATTGTTCAATTCAGGACTATTGTCACACTACGGTCACAATAAACTCAAAGTTCGATGAGTGTGATTAATTTGGGGACGTATCCTTCAATGAAAATATCCAGAAAATTACAAAAAATGTATACAAATGGTTTCTAGAACTTGGGACAAGTTGGCATGTATAATTGCGTAGACAAACAAATTAAGTGACATCAAACTTAATACCGGTAATCATTAACAAGTCACAATTGTAAAATATAATTTGTAACACTATTTCAAAGAATGTGACAAAATCTTCACCCTTCTAGAACACAATGGAATATTAACTGCATTAGCTCTGGGAGTTCCTAAGTAGAGGAAGTCCAATTTAGGCAAAAGCTAATAACTTATCATATGTCAATTTTCGACAGAGTTCGGTCGTTATGGGTGACCTAATCTAATGCGCAGCCTCTTTCGGAAGAGAAGACGAAGAAGTAGTGTTTATGACACGAGAACTTACAGTTCAGCGACCGCAGCTGATCTTAACACAGCATCTCGCGCCACTCCGGTCCAATTAGACCCATTCCGGACCAATTAACATGATACGTGCCACCATTCAGGCATTGTTTACTGTTCTTGTTGCCAACGAGTCTATCGTACTATTGAAAGAGTTTTGTGGCAGCGGCACATAACTTATCTAAATCCAATATTATTTCTTGTACTTGATGACGTCCAGAACAATCTTAACTGATAACAAATTGAAGTACTCGTTTGTGTATATTTTAAAAACTATTTATTTAGTGATTATTCGTTTCTTTCCTCTACAACTAGTGACTTACCTGTCAAGTCAGCGTCGTTTGAAGTAGGAAAGGAAAGTGAGTAATGAGGTCCCATTATCAGTACACAAGCGACTTATCAGAGCCTTCTGGAGTGATAAGAAAACGGACTTTCAGAAGGTAATACAGTCATACGCAACAAACTAACAAACTGTAATTTCCTTGAGTTGTTAACCCATATTCGTTATTGCAATTCGTCTTGACTAAGATTCCTTCCCCTTCTGGAGTGATGAGAAAACGGACTTTCAGAAGGTAATACAGTCATACGCAACAAACTAACAAACTGTAATTTCCTTGAGTTGTTAACCCATATTCGTTATTGCAATTCGTCTTGACTAAGATTCCTTCCCCTACAATAGTTACAATATAAAACAACAAATTAGGACTGTAGTCCTAATTACAATAATACAACGATCCATTAAAATAATTAATTTATTATTGGCAACAAAAAGTATGATCGCACAAGCCATTTCATAAAATGACTCAATCCATATTGAATGTACAGTTTTATGGTGGAATGGATTGTAATTTATTTCTAAAACCTTCAAATAGCAATCTCAGCTCACGATTGTTTACGTCACTTCCAGTGTTTGTTCATGGGATTTGTTCAAGGTCGGAATAACATATCCGATCCATAATAAGTTATCCGACCCAGGTACAAAGTTTTAACGGTACAGAAGTTAACAGTATGTAACAGAGCGTATGTAACAGTATGTAACAGTATGCAACAGTATGTAACAGAACGAACCTTTCTAGGAAGTAGTGGACTTTATTCGATCGTTTTTACACTGGGATAGATCTATGTAATTATTGGAAGTTTAAACGGAACAGACAAAATGGTATTGGCAAATGATTTTTTTTTATAGTCTTGTGGTATGGCTGTCGTAAAAACTCGTACAACCGACCATTCTTCAACATATCTTTACGTAAAGCTGGTGCCCCCCCTGCCATAGCTGTTTGTGGTCAAAAGTATATGGAACTACGGGAGATGATAAGTGACGTCATAGACTGCAGGGGCGTCGCACGAAAAAAATATTGGGGCGGGAGATACTTAGAATTTCTCAGCTATTTTACGCAGATTGCATAAGTAATTTATTTAGTCAAATTAACCAAATACAATCAGCGTTAGCCATGTCAAAGTATATTCCCAACTATATTACTCTAATTTTTCAACTGTAGTACTCAGATTTTCCAACTAATTAATATTAAGTTTTAACAGTAAAAAGGATATTTTACCTTTAAATCCTCTTTATAGCTGTCATACACAAATAACAAGAAATGAAGGTTTCTCAAATTATTGGTTTGACTGTCAATCTTCATTAATGATTGTGTCTCAACAAATGATCACACTGTGTAGGTCTACTGATCAAATATACATTAAGTTTTCATCCTGTTAAAATCAATTAATAATAAAAACTCAGTGGATACGGTTCTCCACACGCAGCTCAGAAATATATTTCCCTTAAAAGCCTTGAATTCCTGTGTACTGTAGTACACTGTAGTTACAACGAAGTGTAGAGTACAACGTATCTGTAGATACGTTAATTTACGTACCATTTTACTCAAAAATGAAATTTCTAATTTGAAATTAACTTTTAAGTTGACAGTTTAACAACAATTTCAAACTTCCCAAAATACAATATACACAAAGCATTTTCGTTCTTGATAAATTACTCCAGCGGCTGTATTAACGAAGCTTAGCCAGTCAGCTGTGATTATGACCGAGGCATTATTTACAGCTGATTTTAATCTTTGGACAAGGTCATTGTTTCACCTCGTCGATCTCCATTGCAATGATAACTTACGGGTCTTTGGTTCAGGACTCATGTTATATCGTTTACTACAAATCTCAGGCAAAAATAGGAGAGAATGAGAGAACGACACCTATTGTAAATTTCTGGCAAACGATTAAGAAATTTCGGTGAATTAAATACTGTATAAGTTTTGTCCAATGAGCATTTTCTCCCCCCCCCATCGACAGATAATAGTATTAAATTGCTTAATGCTCATCTTAGAGGTTTCGTATGATTTGTATTTTCTAATAATCATCCATGCTGAGAAATTATAGTTCTTTTGAATGTGTAAACTTCTAAAGAAGCACTGACGGAAACTACTCAATAAAAATAAATACAAAAAGTAAGTTAGCACCTTATCTACTAACTCATTTTAGGTATATGTATTTGTCTCGGTGTGATTTCAGAGTAGCACAAACATGCTATATTTTGTAAACAAACTTATCACAGAACGAGGAGATGGATCCGTCTGAATTTAATATGTTTGTAGCACGCTTGAAGAGTTTGTGAGAACATTGATATTGCGTGTTTAATGATTAGGTTTGAAAACTAATCATTGAGAGATCATTCATTGACCCTTTTCACTTAAATGGGCTTAAGTTAATCCATGGTTGAATGCTTTGCTCTAGATTGATTGAATTCATTGGGAGAAAAACACCACAAATTTATCGTAGGCTAATGGCTGGACGAACTGGACAACTTTTCTAACTCGAAGTGGCAGACTTAGAAATTGTCTTATCAGCTTCCTAACGTTGAAAAATGCAAGTTTTCTTTCAAAAGAGTCAAAAAAATTTTCAATACCAGCCTCTTTTATCCGTTTCATGTCCAAAGCGTGCTTGAGAATTAGTGAGGGAAGGGAATGATATCCATTCCGTGCCCTTCATGTTATGGTTTTCATAAAAAAATTTTCTTAAGTTTTGAAATGAAATTTTACAGCTAATCCATCGTTAAAAGCTTCATTATATTGGACGCTTATGTTTGTGGCGTTAAAAGCGTCTTGCACACAAAATACAAGTCAAATCTTAATGTACACGTGCATAACCATTATAGTAGCTAAAAACGATTTACTGAATAATGATAGTGTAATTTAAGCATTATTCCGTCGTGCCAAACATTCTGGTTGCCGAATGGTGCACAGTTAGTGTAGTTTTTGTTATTTATATTGTGTGTGAAAACAGTGATCATTCAAAGTAGATATAAAATGTAGCGTCTATGAGTTTTTGAGCATAACTAATATACGTTATGTTACCTGTTAAGATAAAAATTATGTATAAACACATATTAGGAGCTACTTACTCACGAATGACCTAGTAGTCCAAAATATTTGATCATCCAGGCCTACTCCTAAAATAAACTCTTAAAAAAGTACAAAAACTTAATCGAATTTACAATAAATACTCCTAGTTCAAAAATAAAGGCAATGTTCTAGATTCAAAGCACGTGGAAACTCGAGTAAAGTTGCGACTGGCATTTGTTTACCAAATTGATAAAATTGATAAAGACTCTAGTCTAAGTTTGCGTGTTGAACCTGACTGACGCGGAACTGAGTGTGTACGTGTCTTCCGTCGTGTACATTTGTACAAGTCGTGAAAATGTTGACGGTAAAGCTAAATAGCTTGAGGATCAGATGAAATGAGACGATGTGTTTGACTAGTGAATGTGTACGTGTGGATAAAACTATAATAATGTTGTTAACATCGATTAAAACTAAAGGTGATAAAGTAATAGACCGGTAATTTCTACTTTTAGAAAACTTTGGTGTGGTCAGAAGACAAAGGTGATCAAAATGAGTCGTGTTCAGTGACAATGTTTTCAACAAGATTCATCTTGGTGATGACCCTCTTCAGGCTCATCACTCCTAACCAAGCCTTGATCACCCTGGACTACTGCCTCCTGAGTTGTGGCGACGTCAACCACACCATGTGCGACTACCTCCCAGGGGGCGGCCCGGAGTGTGGGGAGTTCCAGGGGGGGTTGTCAGAGGAAGAGGAGAAACTCATCGTGGATCTGCACAACCGTCATCGGCAAAAGATAGCTTCTGGAGACCACGACCAGCCTCATGCCGCAGATATGCTGGAAGTGATTTGGGACCGAGAGGCAGCCATCATCGCACAAAGATGGGCCGACCAGTGTGACGTACTGGGCCACGACAAGTGTAGACGAACACTCCACGCGAAACATGTAGGACAGAACACTGCGTGGATGAAGGGCGTGGACTATCCGGGCAGACGTCGCAACAGAGCTGACGTCATCGAGTACTTCATCACCGGGTGGTTCAACGAGGTGGAGAACTACCCAGGGGACGTTGACGGGTTCAATCCTACAGATCAAGAACTTCCGAAGTTTGCCCACTACACCCAGCTGGTATGGGGGTCCACGGCGGAGTTGGGGTGTGGGTTTGTACAATGGGTGACTGATATAGAGTACGAGTACAAACTTGTGTGTAATTACGTCCCCGGGGGCAATCTGAGGGGGTTGCGGGTTTACAGAAGGGGGGAACCATGCTCTGGATGTCCTTTGTTCACCAAGTGTAGCGAAACGTATCCTGGCTTGTGTGCGGCTCACGATTGGAGTAGAATTGGGGACGTTAAGACAGTAGATACTGAGGAAAAGCAAAAAGACATAATTGATCAAAGAGAAGAATGTGAGAAAGAAGATAAAGACGAAGAAGAAGAAATTGAAGAAGAAGAGGCCATTGAAAGCCCCATAGAAGACACCATACACCCCATGGGTAGTGACGTTAGTGTTAGTGAGGAGGAAACTATAGAAAATTACTCCAAAGGCCATGGCCATGCTCTAAGGTCATTTTTAATCGTGACAATTTTTACCGTAATTTTAAACTGTTATTTATTTAAAATGGTGACTGTTAATTAAGGGAAACTCTGATTTAAGGTAATGTTGTCCTAATATATTTCACTCATATATATAGTAGTGAGACTAGTTAATATTGTAGAACCGTGTTTAGATTTTTTAGTAAAAAGAATTGGAACAATCTTCCAGTTGCGTTTTTTACTTGTTAACCATTAATCATTTCTCAAATCAAATTCATCTGGTGCAGAAGGTTGATTCAAAGCTACAGTACATTGATTTACTTATGTTGGGTTGACAATTTTGTTAATCAATTCGCTATCTAGGTGATTTGCCAAGCGTCCTAGACATAATTTAGACTTTAAGAACGTACGCTAAGATTTAACATTTCGCTTTAAATTTTGCTTTGGTACATCGATTACATCAATATTACATGAATTAATAATTGTCATCAGAGCACTCTGACGGCGATTCAAGTAAAATCCAGTATCTAAATTTTCATACTGAAACCGGACTATCTTTAACGTGGGAATCGGGGAAACATGGAAAATTTCATTCAAATTGAAGTTAAATCCCACTCAGAATGTGTGTGTACTCTTGTCTTGGAACACTATCTTCTTAATTAAGATTTCGATACTTTGTTAATTGATGTGACATTAGTCATTATCATTATCATTTTGAGATGGGGACGCCACCTATGTGCGTATTTCAACCAAAAAAGTGGAGGATGAGTGTAGAATGGAGAGATGCCTTCTGTAGCTTTGTTACTGACTAAGACCAGCAGTTCCATTAAGTCAGGACCATTTACTGAGCCCAATGATCAAGAACAGCTGGGTCCGTCAAATAAATACATTTGACATAAAATGGTGTAGTTGATGGTGTGCTCTACTTTCGATTTGTATTGTTAAAAGTGCTCGTATATGAAATCGTGCAATGATTAACATCAACTATGCCGGTTACACTTCATTCAACTACTATACCTTCATTGGGGACGATGTCGAAGTTGGACAACGTTAAACGTGGACTACGTTAAAAGCAGACACCGCCTCCATCAGACAACGATAAAAGAAGACAACGACGAACATGGACACATTCAAATGTGTCCAAGCTTAACGTTGCCCGCAAACGACGAACCTGGACACATTTATAAGTTGTCCACGGGTGGCGTTGCACGACACGACGAATCTGGACACATTCAAATGTGTCCAAGTTTAACGTTGCATGCAAACGACGAATCTGGACAAGTTTTCAAGTTGTCCAGGGTTGTCGTTTGCGTGCGACGTTACCCTTGGACACATTCAAATTTGTCCAAGTTTAACGTTGCATGCAAACGACGAACCTGGACAAGTTTTTAAGTTGTCCAGGGGTGGCGTTGCACGACACGACGAAACTGGACACATTCAAAAGTGTCCAAGGGTAACGTTGCACGCAAACGACGAACCTGGACACTTTTAGTTTTTGAATAGACTGTACACCAGGCTCATCAAATTCTCAGTCTCGCTCGGTTGGTAAACTCTGAATGAGCTTCCTAAAACAGAAATGCCGTGAATACGCCTTATTGTTACAAGGCTTCTTTCTAACACACTGTTACTAATACACTGTGTTGTAGTGACTCATAGTCCACGAAACACATTGTACATTATAAATTCGGAAATTTAATTGCATGTTTATTTGGTCGTTGTAAATGTTTGCTGGATATTAATAAAAAATTAAAACATATGGGACCTGGATACACCGTGTCCCAAACGGACGGTTCAAATCTACAGCTTTTGTTCAATATACGTGTTGCTAAATGTCGTAGAAAAGTTAATTAAGTCTCATTTTAAAACTGCCATATTTAAGTGATTTTTAGTGCCCTTCAATAGTAATTAGCTGTCCATTGTTTTTGGCACATTTGAATCTTCAAAACGTACATTTGCAATATGGAGCTGCGGCTGAAATCAAAATTTGTTAATGGTTTATAGAAACGAAATATGTGGAGTGTTTTTGTCTGGGGGTTTGTCCTTGGTTTTTCAATGATTGAACGTATCAGTCGTCAACCTCTAACATGGATAAACTAACAAAATGAAGCAAACAGATGCCTTAGATTTTAACGTTTTCGTGGCGAAACAACTGCAATAGAGCAGTCAAATTGTTATGGATTATTTAATTACGGTATGTGTAAATGGATCCTGCTCGACTAAACCTGTTTCACAATGTGCAGTCTATCGTATCCTACGATCACATATCGTACCTACATAGGTTGAAATAATAAAACTGATTCGTTTGAGGATTATTTGAACAAAGCAGCAAAATAGCGGTGATACACAATGACAAAATATCAGGCGTGTATTTGAGATCGTTAGTGAATCCACTACGGGCAATACTTTGCAAAACCGTTACGGAACTATAACTACACCCGCCACAACGAACCTGCAGACTAAAAGCTACTATACTTTAGTCTGACTGAGTTGTCAATAAAATATCTCCTTAAAAATGAAATATTTATTCCCTATTACTATAACATTAGTTTAACGAGTTTTTGTGTATGCTGCTACAGGGAAGGCTGTAAGGTGTTTTTATAGTTCAATGTTGACAGTATAGTATAAATAAATACATTTTCCAAATTTGATCATATTTTGTTTATAAACAAGCAAACAACAGTTCACTTATTCTCCATAAGAGTACTCTCCTAGGGCTCAACCCTGCCTGCCTTAAAAGTGTCTACGTTATTCTTATGAATACACTTAATATTGGAATTTTCAAATGTATAACGTAATTTATTTCATTATATCGTATAAATTTATACGAAAAGTAATTTGAAAATGATCAGGCTGCTGATCTATCGAAATTTTATTTATTTATTCGTTGGTTCTTTTAATCCAGTATATCTATGGAACATATTCTCTCTCGTTGCGAATCACGGATATAGCACGGATGTAGGGGGTGGTGAAGGAAGTAATAAAGGTGAGCAGTGTTGAGTGTGGGAATTGATTAATGTATCTGCAATGCTAAAATGTTATGGGAAGAGACTGTAGACTGTAGGTTAAAATGGTTACGAAGCACGAATCGATACATATTTTCGATATATGCAATCGTTTACGATAGAAATTTACAACTGAGTTGACAACAGCTGATTTTTACTCCATAGAGGCCTAAAAATGATTCTTACTCCCTAAAGAGTAAAAATGCTACTTAAGACCTGCAACGCATGCATTAAAAACGACTGTTTTATGTAGTATGACAAAAACAATATATTATGAACCCTTGATGATTCCACCCAATTTTGTGGATGCTTCTGCAAACGCCACCTAGTAGTTTAAACCTGCCATTGCCAAGTGGCCACCTCAGCATACAAAAGTGTCAGTCATGAAATGGCTAACAAAATACTAAAAGCTTTTTGGTTATTAGAATTTGTAAGAAAATTGTAGTGGAAAATATAAACTTAGTTCCAGATCATAACAGATGTTGCATTTGAGACTAAATCTTTAAGATGCTGTCTGACTTCTTGCCAATTAATCATACATTTAAATAGCTCATAATGTATTTGGAAGAATTAATAATTATTTACCACTAGGCCTTCTATTGTAGCGAGAGAAGTGTCTTGCTTGCATTTAAACACAAAAATGAACAACTTAAATAAGTAAAATTAATTATGAGATATCAGAGATTCCAAATATAAACTTTCAATCCTAGCCAAAAAACAGTAACTAACTGAGAGAGTTTTGATAACCAGAAAAAAGACCTTGAATCAGTGTTGTATATGGCTGGGACACTTAATGATCGTCGCCAATAGCTTACAAACAAGGTTTCCACTCATTGACGGCACTTCAATGGCGATTGTGTAAAGTGTAAAGTAAAAAAATCAAAACTTTAGTGGGTGATTGTTAACAGAGGTTTACGGATGATGCTAAACTTGCTTTTCCAATGTGTCCCTTTCTGTTTCTTCTCACCGTGTAATGCAATTGCTGGACCATACAGGAAATAGGCCCATTCATAGCCCATCTCTTGGATACGTACGCCTACCTATTTATTCATCAAAAAACCTTTTCGACGACGATCCTTGATACCAGTACTTTTTCCATAGAATACATGGCCTACCGACTTTATGAAATAAAATTACAAATGTCCAAAAAACCCAACATTGTGTGATTTTTGTCACATTCAACTGACTACTACCCTATAGATCCCCGTACGTAGAACGGGCACACAGCTAATTTGAACTTAGGCAGCAACAAAACGCTGTGATACAAAATGAGAACTGTCAAGGTAGGATTGTTTATAGTTAGGTTTGAGATTTTAATTTAATGATTAATTTGTGATATTGTGCGAATGTTTGATAATTTATTTTTTTCGACTGTTAAGGTGTAATAGTAGAACATTATGACAATAGTAGATGTGTTACACTATATCATACCGTAAATTTATTAACAAAATTTTATCAAACTGTGTCCTCCCCCATTGCAAACGCAAAGCAGGATAACTGCAATAAGCATTTTATACTTATGCCAACCCCATACGGAGGACGGATGCTCCGCTAGTTTAATATAATTTGATATAATATAATATAATTCCCAACACTCTTTACTTCCTAACATTTGTACTATTTGAAATATTTTTGATGATAGTATCGTGTTGGCAGGATCGCGTTGGTAGGATCGATCGTCATGTTGTAATGATCAGAATGTTGCAATGCCTTGGGGTATATAATTTGCCAGATAAGTAAACCTAAGTAGTTTTCGCGGATTTGTTTGATAAGGAAATGCCTAATTCGCATAAAGTATCATATCAAGCAAAACTTTAGAATGCGTTCTCAAATACTGCCTGATATTTGTAGAAAATGAAGACGAGCAATACTGTAAACGCCCGAAACACATGAACAACTCCTTCAGGCAATGTTTAGGGATATTTTAATATCTTGCTTGAAAACAATGCTTTTCATGACATAAAATAAATAAATAGCCTATATCAAAATAAAACATATGTTAAATGTAGGCAAACGGAGGCTCAATAAGCTCCATCTTTAAATTCAATCGTTCTCTTATCGTAGTTGTTTCGTTGTACCTACGCCTAAATATAATAGACTA